CTTTTCCTGCTTTTCCCACCCCCAGCTCCTTTACCCTGGCCTGGGGTGCTAAGCCTGGCTGATTGTCCCTCATTTCCTTGGCCTCCTTGGTTCCTGTGCTGGCATCTCCTGCACCTTTGCTGCAGGTGCTGAAGGAGTCGTATCTCAGATGGGTTTGGTGAGGGGCTTGGGAATTTGGGATGCAAGGTAGTTGTTTTTCTGTTCTAGGGGCACCAGGAAGCACAGTCTGGGTTTGGATTGAGTTTCAGACAGCTCAGAATTGGGAGTGTTCATCTGGTGAAGAGGAGGCTCCAGGGAGAGCTCAGAGCCCTTCCAGGGCCTAAAGGGGCTCCAGGAGAGCTGGAGAGGGACTGGGGACAAGGCATGGACGGACAGGACACAGGGAATGGCTCCCACTGCCAGAGGGCAGGGCTGGATGGGATATTGGGAATTAGGAATTGTTCCCTGGGGGGTGGTGAGGCCCTGGCACTGCCCAGAGCAGCTGTGGCTGCCCCTGGATCCCTGGCAGTGCCCAGGGCCAAGCTGGACAGGGTTGGAGCACCTTGGGCTAGTGGAAGGTGTCCCTGCCCATGGCAGGGGTGGGATGAGATGGTCTATTGGGTCACTTCCAGTCCTGTGATTCAGTGATGATTCTGTTAATTTTCCACCCTTTTCAAATCCAGGAGGACACTCACAAAGTCCTTAGGGGGCACAAATGGAGTTGTCTTTGAGACCCATTTGTCCATCACCTCCAGCTTCCAAATAGCAAAATAATAGAAAAGATAGGAAGTGGGAATTGTTACCTTTTACAAAATATTTGTAACACTGGGAGAGGATATGAAATTGTTTCAAACAGCAAATAAAGCCCAGTACAACACAAGAGCACAGCTCTTGACTCTTCTGAGGATTGGTGTTCATTTAATGTTCTGTCTCTTGACTCTGGGTTGTAGTTGTAGACAAAGTGTTTCTTCTGTTCCACCCCTCCTTTCTTCTACCACAGTTTGTCATACTTGAAGGGAATTTCTCTCATGACCATAATTGCAAAATGGATCTTGGAGAGAGGCAGACATGGCACTTGCCTTGTGGAGTAAAAGCTGCATTGTCTTTTTTGTTTTGTTTGGTAAATTCTCACGAATGAGGGTTGGACTTGCACAAGCAGAACAGTCTCTTTCTTAATCCACAGGTCCTGCACCTGTAGAGAAAAATGACCATGTGAAGAGCCGAGGGGTGGGGTTTTTATGTCCCATCTCTGCATTACTCGAGGGGTGTTTGGTCACCAAGGGTCACCTGTTGCTTTTGGGCATGGAGTGAGATACCACACATACTTACACACCTGCCACCACCTTGGAAGTGTCCAAGGCCAGGCTGGGCAGGGCTTGGAGCAACCTGGGACAGGGGAAGGTGTCCCATGGCAGGAGTTGGGGTGTAAGGTCCCTTCCAAGCCAAATAATTCCATGCTGTGGCTGTGTCAGCTGTCCCTTCCAGCTGAAGGAGTTAATCATGGCGCTGGGGAGGGATGGAGGGCACGAGGAAGGCTCCTGGCAGCTGGGACAGAGCGTGGGCATCTCTGCCTCACTCCTGGAGGTTGCAGCAGCAGCAGGCGTGGGCTGAAACACGAGGATGCTCCACTTGGGGGGAGAAAGCATTTTCCAGCAGCACTTTGCTGCTCATCACTTCAAAACAGTCACAAAAAACGAGGCTGTGCCGGTCAGGACAACCCCAGCTCCGTGGCAAGGGGAGAGTTTTGTCCTCGGTGTGGTGTCATGGAGCTGTGCACCCTGCAAATGATGACCATCATCAAGGGAAGCTGTGCCCCTGCAGTCCATCAAGAGGCACAGAGCTAATGATGGGCTGGGCAGATAATCGGGGGAGAGTTAATTGTAAGGTTCGATATGGCATCTTGTCAGCAGAGATAAGTTGTCACGTTTTCCACTTGAGCTGAAACTAAATGATTGTAAAATAAGTTATGAGTGTCCTTGGGCCTGTCTGCCAGAATGATGGCTAAGAATACATTCCTGGCCCATCAGTCTCAAGCAGCCCGCTTGATATTTATGCGAACTGAATGTTATTTTATTCCCCCTCTAGTCATGCTTGTCAGCTTCCCGAGTGAAAAGTGAAACTGCTGCTTTGACTCATACTTCAAGTATTGAAGCTCGGAGAGGCTGCAGATTGTTATTATTATTACCAGTATTATATATTTTTTCGGGTGTGTGTTGAACATTGATGCCCGATTGGGAAGAACTAATGGCTGACATTGAGCGTGCGGGATGGCTGCAAAACAGCCCATCCCAGCCCAGTGGAACGCAGCTTATGAGTTCCAGTGCCTCTGTCAAAGCTGCTTGAGATGGGGAGTAATGAGACGCTTGCTTTTTTAATTTGCCATGCCTTTATCCTTGCCTTTTTCCCCCCCCCACCACCTTTTTTTTTTCTTTTTTCTTTTTTTTTTTAAATATATATTTAATAGTGCCAGCAGTGGTCGTCTGTTCTCAGGCGTGGTAATTGATACCAAATAAAATGCATTATTTGTATTCAGTCAGGAGGATGAAATTGCATTCAGCGGGCTGAAGCCTGAACTCATTTACAGTTTCCCCAAGCCCGAGCTTTCAGGAGCCCTCTTTTCAATTTGAAGAATACCTTGTCAGGCACGAGAAGGAGTGGGAAATGGGAGAGCACAGCGTGGAAGCCCAGTGCCTTTTGATTGCTCATATTTTAAACCAGGGCAATGTTCAATAACTCCCATCCTCAAAGGGTGGGCTCGGAAGCCGGGGATCCGGGGCAGCGGCGCGCCGGCGATACCAACTCGGCTCCCTTCATGAGGGACCAACCTTCCCTTGCTGCTCGAGGGGGAGGGAGAGCTCCAGGCTCCCACTTGAGAGCAGTTTGACCCAAGGACAGCAGGTTATTACCTGGAAGGGGCTGGGGATGACGAGGATTTACCACGGGAGGTTAATTCTTCAGCTCTGCGACGCCAGGCGTCAGCCCCGTACGTCCCTCATTTTTCAGAGCTCTCCAGCAGGTTTTGTTGGGGGGATTTACGGCCTGGAAATTAGACAGAGCTGCCACCAGTGTGTGGATGTAGCCTGATGGGTTTTAACAGGATGTATTCTGTAGTGCTGCCTCAGGATTGTGGGGTTTTTTCACCGTTTGATGGGTGCAGGGCATGGTGGTTGATGCTGCGGGTGCAGAACTCGGATAGGTTTGATTGTTTCAAAGTGAAAGCTGGGAATGAGGTGGGGGAGAAGTGAAGCATTTTGAATCATAGGATCCCAGAAAGGTGTGGGTTGGAAGGAACATTAAGCATCACCTGGTTCTAACACGTCAGAGAGGGACACCTTCCACTGTCCCAGGTTGTTCCAAGCCCCTTCCAGCTGGGCTTGGGACACTCCCAGGGATAGGGCAGCCACGGCTTCTCTGGGCAACCTGGGGGTTTTCTCCTTCTGTTGAAGTATCAGCATTGGAAACCTCCAGAGTCAAGCTGGAGATCACTACTGGGGGCTGGCAGAAACCCCAGTGCATCTGTGCTCATGCCTTTGTGTTTCTGGCACCCTCTTCTGCACCTTCTTTCTGTGCCATGGATCCAAAGGGATCTCTGTCCCCTTGGCTGAGAGAATTCCCACCAGGATTTTCACCTGGATTTGCCTCCCTCCTCTCCTGGAGAGACAGCAAACTCTGCCACTTGCACCAGTTGTGGGGCAAATCCTTAAAATATCCTACACTGATACAGAGTAAATACATCCCCATGATTCCCTTTTGGGGTTAAATTCTTGGGAACTGGTTTCAAGCTAGTGGATGCAGGGAAAAGAACAGAAATCCTTAATATCAAGATTAATGTTTAGTTTGGTCTCTCTTGCCAGGCAATTAGCTACATAATTTATCCCCCACTAATAACTTAGAGCACAACTGTGCTTAGGGGGTAATTAGTAAATAAACTTTATTAGGAGGAAAAAGAAAGCAAAATAAGTTGGCTTTTGTCAAACAGGCAGTTCTGTGGGAATTTAACTATGCAAAAAGAATCAAAAGCTATTTTTTTAATAATCTTTGGCTTGATATTTTTCTGACATATTAAGTTAAATGCACTCCTGTTATTACACATAAGCTTTATAATAAGGATTTTTGTTCTTTTTCCCTGTGTCTGCTATTCTGAAACCAATCACCAAGTATTTAACCCCAAAAGGCAATCATGGGAATGTATTTGCTGAAAATCTGTCTGGGAGATTTTAAGGATATGGCACATAAATGCAGTCCTGATACTGCACTAAGGTGCAATATGGTATTTAAGCAAGGTTCTGGAAATGGCTTCACTTTCCATAATAGCAAGCACTTTCCTTTAAGTGTAGGTTTTATGTGGAATTTTATAATTAAAATCCAAACCAAGCCAGTAATTAAACAAAAATCATATTACCAACCTTGGGGGGAAATCCTGGATTAAGGTTACTTGAATATTTACTATGTGGAAGGACCCAAGTTCTTAAAATTGTTGGAGTTAATAAAGCAGGAAACTGAGCAGAGTAACATGGGATTATTTATTTTCCTTGGGAGCAGGTAGGAAGTGAGGAGCAGGTAGGAATTTGTCACACAGTTATTACCTGTACCAGGTGCACATTACCTACCTTATTTTCCACATTTATTGCCATCACCAGCTTTTCAGTGGGTGTCTGTCTGATATTAATGACAGCCGAGAACATCCAGAGGATCCAGAGATATCTCTGTTTATGTATTAAAATGTCCAAGTGCTACACAAATTAATTTGAGGCTAGGGAAGATCTTTGGAGGAATTGGAAGCAATAAAGTGCTTTCCCATTGTTTTTGTGCATTCCAGCTGGCCTGCCCCTAAAATTGCTGCTGAGTCCTGTTAATCTAAGAGGACTTGAATCAGTTTTCTGGAAAAAACAACGGACATTGTTTGGAGAGTCTCCTTAAGGAGCTCAAGAACGTATCTGCCGACAGCCAGGGCTTGTAAGCTTGGATTCTAACAATCACCTCCTTTCAATCTCACAGCATTTTGATCTTTTCTGCTGCAGACACGGGCCTGGGAGATTCAGTGTGCTCCAGCCCCAGCATCTCCAGCACCACCAGCCCCAAGCTGGACCCCCCTCCTTCCCCCCACGCCAACAGAAAGAAGCACCGCCGGAAGAAAAGCACAAGCAACTTCAAAGCTGATGGCATCTCGGGCACGGCTGAGGGTAGGTCCCACCTCAAAATCCAAGGCTGAATTCTGAACATTTTGCCATTCCAAGGAGTGTTGTTAGCTCAGCACCTGTCACTGTAGGACACGAAATAACATGACACACACATACAGCTCTTCCAAGGAAAAAGAGAATTTTTTCATTTTTTGACCCCAACGTTTATAGATTTCCAAAAGTGACAGTGGATTGGAGGGTGACAGTGCCACCTCTCCAATGACACTGGACAAACCAACAGTCCATCAAATTTCTCCTCCTCCATAAAAGAATGCAAAACAATGAGTTATTTACAGAAAGTGTAAATAACTTATTGTTTTGTATTCTTTTATGGAGGAGAAATGTAAACATGAGAAGGCTTAGAAAATCCTAAAAAATCAGGGTGACAAGCACCAGCCTCAGCTCTGAATGCACAGGGGAAAGGAAATTGTGAGAAATTGAAGCGTGAGCTTGTGAGGATGGAGCTGAAGCAGCTGAGGCATCACAGTGGTGAATTCAGCTGCCTGCAATGTGTTTAGAACCCTTTTTTTTTTTTTTTTTAATAAATCAGAGTCCCCAAGTTAATATGGAGCATCGTTAGGTGTTGAGGTAAGGAAGAGGCACACTTGGAAGGTTAACAAGGAGGAAAAATTCAGATTCACTCCCTAGCCCACAGATCACGTCAGAACTTGTGTATTTTTTTCAGTATTATTAAATCTTGTGTTATCACATCTCCTCAGGCACATCCTGAGCTCTAGAATGGCCAACACTTCTGATGCCTCTCATTGTTTGAATATTCAGCTGCTTGTGGAAAGCTTGTGTTATTTGAGGATAAAAGGGAAAAGGGGAGAGTTTAAATGTTTGGGTTCTTTTTTTTTATGAGCCAGAAAGCAAAAGCCAAAAAGAACTTCTTTTTCTCCCTTAGTTTAGCTTACTATTGCCACAGTGCTGTAGCTGTTCAATGCCCTTCTGAAGGGGTAACAATGTGTACAGGAGCCAGGTATGATATAAAACATGCTTGCAGCTTTAGAAAAGAAGAAAAGAAACATGCTAGGATTCAACCAAAAGAGCTCCAGAAAAAGAAAGATGAACAAGGGTGGTTGGAGGGCTCAGAAACTGGGGAGTCAACACATAAGGAGAGATGAAAAAGGGAGACAATGGAATAACATTGTGGGAAAAGGGGAGTGTTGAGTAAGAAAAAGATGTGGTTGTAAGCATGAGAGAGTAAAAAACAGCTAATTCAGTATCAAAGAATGTTGGAACAAGTTCTGAAAAAAGGATGACAATTGCAGACAGCTGAAGAGACATTAAAAATAGATGTGATAATAGTATACAACTGAGAAGGGGCATGTTAACTACTACTTAGTCATCCTTATTTTCCATTTATTTAATTTCTCAATTGCACTTCTATCACATCCGGAATTTATTTCTCCAGCTATCTATACAAATCCTTTTTTAAAAAGCCATCAGCTTTTTTTCATAACAGCTCCTGTTGTGTTCTCTTTCCAGTCATTTAACTATCTTTGCTGTTAGTTTCCCCCTAGTTTATGGCCCGAAGCCAAATTTTAGTTCAACCTTTCGTTTTTAATTTGTCCTTTTCTTTTTATTTTTCTTTTAAAGAAACCCTTTTACACCACTTATTTTCAAACCTCAATGGCAAATTACAGAGGGGATTTTTCAGAGCTTTCACCATTGGCCCAAGAATATTTTGTTGAAGTCAAAATGAATCAAGACCAGCTGGATATCGAGAGCCTTTGAAAAATCTCTCTCTGAGCAGTTAATAGGTGTATGTTTTCTTTCTCCTGGGGAGATTGTTTTCACAAGGCATTGGAGCCTGTGTGGTCCTGGGCTGCAGGCACAGACCCAGAGGGAGCAGTTTGCATGTGGCTCTCTTGTCCCTGATGTCCCTGTTCTGATTGCAGAGTCCGTCCTTCATCCTCCTCTGTTTCCTCTTCCTCTCCTTCTCCTCCTCTTCCAGCATCACACCGTGTTACCTGAAATCCTCTTGCTATAACTCAAAAACTGTCCCCTCTCATGGAAATGCGATCAGTGTGCTTCCAGAAAGGCAGGAGGTTGTTGGCAAGCAGCAGCTCAGTAACACCCAGGGAGCTCAAAGGGAGTAGAAGCATTTAGGGTGGAAAAGCTCTCTGAGATCATCCAGTCCAACTGTTCCCCCAGCACTACCAAGGCCACCACTCATCCCTATCCCCAGGTGCCACTAAATCCCTCCTGGGATGGGGACTCCCCCACTGCCCTGGGCAGCTGTGCCAGGGCTGGACAGCCCCTTCTGTGAAGAAATATTCCCCAGTGTCCACCCTGAGCCTGCCCTGGCCCAGCCTGAGGCCGTTCCCTCTGCTCCTGTCCCTGTTCCCTGGAGCACAGCCCGACCCCCTGGCTGTGCCCTCCTGGCAGGAGCTGTGCAGAGCCACAAGGGCCCCCTTGAGCCTCCTTTGCTCCAGGCTGAGCCCTTCCGAGCTCCCTCAGCCCCTCCTGGGGCTCCAGCCCCTTCCCCAGCTCCATCCCGTCCTCTGGACACTCTCCAACAGTGCCACCCCCTCCTTTACAGTGTTTGTACCTCTGCATGAACCCATCAGCTTCCTGTCACCTGCCTCTTCTCACATGTCTTCTGAGGCAGAAGGTTCACTCTTCTGTGTGAAGAGAAGGGTGTTCTATTCTGTTCAGGACTTGCCAGTTGTGTCTCAGGAGTATCATAAAATGCAGGTGCACCAATGAGGGCAGGAATGATGCATCTGATTCCATCTTACTAGAAGGCTAATTATGACTTTATTATACTATATTATATTAAAGAATACTATACCATACTAAAGAATACAGAAAGGATACTTACAGAATGCTAAAAAGATAACAATGAAAACTCCTGACTCTGTCCAGAGTCTGACACAGCTTGGCCCTGATTGGCCAAGGAGCCAAAACAACTCCCAGCAGAATCCAATGGAACAATCACCTGTGGGTAAACAATCTCCAAACACATTCCACATGTGAACCCAGCACAGGAGAAGCAAATGAGAGAAGAATTGTTTTCCTTTTCTCTGAGGCCTCTCTCGCTGCTTTTCAGCTTCCCAGGAGAACAACACTGGGTGAAGGGATTTTTTCAGAGGATGTGAATGGCACACAGGAGGGCCTCTGTGGCTGTTAAATTCTTTAGTTTCTCACCATCTCTCTCAAGCACAGCCCTGCTGCTGAAAAGCAGCACTTTGGCCACAAGAGCAGAGTGAGGAGTTTCCTGTGGGCATGCCAGGGCTCTGGGCAGCCTTCAGCAGACAGTTAATCTGGCTGGTCCTTGAATCCTGGAATCCTTGGCGGGGCTGGGAGGGGATGGCTGACAGCGAGGCCAGGCAGCCTCGTCCGTCAGCGCGAGCTGAAGGAGAAGCAATGAGGCGTGCTCCAGCTCCCTGTCCTTTTAGGAGAAGGGCATCTCACAAAGAGTGATAGTGGCTGGAGATTGCCTCTAAGGACATCCTAGCAAGACTCAGAAAGGCTGGGGGGGGGCTGCTCTGCCCAAATCCTGGCAGCCTTTGGGTTTTCTGGGAGTTGTGTTGGTACAAGGCAGAGCCACCGAATCGTTGAGGTTGGAAAAGGCCTCAAGGATCCTCGACTCCAGCCAGGTTCAGGCTGTTCTGGGTGTTCTCTCCAAGCAGTTGAATGTCAGAGGAGTTTAGGTTGGATCTCAGGGAAAGGTTCTTCCCCCAGAGGGTGCAGGGAATGGTCCCAGCCCCAAGGCTGCCAGAGCTCCAGGAGGGTTTGGGTACCACTCCCAGGGTGAGATTGTTGGGATGTCTGTGCAGGGCTAGGAGTTGGATCAGTGATCTTTGTGGGTGCCTTGCAGCTCTGGATATCCCATGATTCTATGGTTTCCACATCTGTCTTGCACTTCAAAGCTGTTTTCACTTCTAGTTATTTCCTTGTTCTCCAGTACTTGGCTACAAATCTGTCCAGTGACCTAAAAAATTCCCTTGGGGATTTTTCTCCCCCCACCATAACGTAGATTTGCACCCTCAGAGGATTACTGCACTTTTGAAGACCAAAAATCCAAAATAGGCCATCAAAGGTGTTCTGGGAGATGCAAACACTTTGATCAAAGTGTTTGAGATGCTGCAAATTGGCTCCAGAAGCCTGTGGTGGGAATTGTGGGAGAACCCATGGTCTTCCTTCCTTCCTCCTGGAAATCCTGGGCTCCTTGTGCAGAGGAGGAGGAGGAGGATCCTCCTGCAGTCGCTGTTCCCAGGCAGGTACAATGGATCAGAGTTAAATGGTGTGGGTCATTCTAGATTTTGTGTTGCCTTCCTTTGGTTCCAGGCACGTTTCAAGTGTCAGCTTTCAAACAGGAATTCTGAATTCCTTCATTTTCGTCTGCACCAAAGCTGAGGTGTTCAATGAGGTTTAAATCTGGTCTTCAGCAAACTGGAGCATTTTTGCTGCACTTTGCAGGGCTTTTTTCCCCTCCTTGAACGTGCCTGCTTTGATCATTGACCTCTGCCCAAGTATTCAGATATCATGATGATGGACACTGAGCTCAGGCTGGTTCACCAATTCCAAGGCCTGATGCTCATCCCTTTTATGCCCTTCCATAAAGGTCATGCTGATTCTTCTCTCTCCACACTATCTGCACATGCACAGCCCTCTCTTTCTGGGATGGGTTCTTTCATCTCACTTGGTTTATCTTCCTGCAGCTTTTCTGAGACAATGCTCACAGCAACACAAATGCTGAAGCACCTGCACTGCGCTTGGAGGAAAATTAAAATTCCATTCCTATCTCAGAAAATCAGATTCTTGTGATTTTTTTTTTCCCAGGGAGAAGTTTTTCAGTTCTCTGTGCTGAACTTGTCACTGAAAAAAAAATCCCTTGGTGTTTTTGAGGGTAGCAGCAGGAATGCTTACATTAGGCAAGGTGCCAGCAAGCAGCAGTTTTTTCCTCACCATGCTGCCTGAAGTTGCTCAGAGCAGGATTAGGCAGAGCTGTGTTTCAAAGAGGAATGGCTGCTCAGAGCCTCATCTGTTTGGGT